GGGCCAAAAAAAAAAAGGGAAAAAGAATTTGAAAAAATGAAGAAAATCTAAGGGAGCTAGCAGACAACCTTAAGTACACAAACATTTGAATCATGAGTGTTCCAGAAGGGAAGGAGAAAGGAGAAGGCATAGAAAACTTATTCAATGAAATAAATAATATCAGAAAACTTCTCAGGTACAGGGAGAGACACGGACCTTTAGATCCAGGAGGCTCAAAGATCCTTAAACAGATTTGATAGAGTTTGAATGTGTTGTCCCTGCCCAAACTTGTGGAAATCTGATCCATAGTGTGGCAGTGTTGGGAGCTGTTTGAGTCACGGGGGCAGATCCGTCATGAACAGATTAATGCTCTCCTTGGGGGATGGGGGCATGAGTAAGATCTAGCTCTATTAGATCCCGTGAGAGCTGGTTGTTTAAAAGACCCCGGCACCTCCCCTCTCTCTCTTGCTTCCTCTTGCTGTGTGATCTGCTTGTATCCACCAGCTGCCTGCTGCTTTCTGCCATGATTAGAAGCAGCCTGAGGCCCATGCCAGATGCAGCTGTCCCAGAATTGTACACCAATAAACCTCTTTTCTTTATAAATTACCCAGTCTCAGGTATTCTGTTATAGCAACACAAAATGGACTAATACAGAAAATTGGTACCAGAGAAGTGGTGTGTTGCTATACAGATACCTGAAAATGTGGGTAATAGGCAAAGGTTGGAGGAGTTTGGAGGACTTAGAAGAAGACAAAAAGATGAGAGAATGTTTGCAACGTTTTAGAGTTAATTGTTAAATCATTGTGACCAGAATGTTGATAGAAATGTGGACAGTAAAGGCCATGCTGATGATGAAGTCTCAGATAGAAATGAGGAACTTATCAGGAATTGAACAAAAGATAACCCTTGCTACGCCATAGCAAGGAACTTGGCTGCATTCCATAGCAAGGAACTTGGCTGCCTACGCCATAGCAAGGAACTTGGCTGCATTGTGTCCATGCCCTTGGATTTTGTGGAAGGTGGGACTTAAGAGTTGTGAACCAGAATGTATGGCAGAAGAAATTTCCAAGCAGCAGAGCATTAAGGAATCTGCATGGCTACTTGCAACAGCCTATCTGAGTTATGGCAGAAAAGGCATGATATAAAGTCAGAATTTAAAAGGAAAGCAGAGTATAAAGATTTGAAAAATTTGCAGCCTGGCTGTGTGGTAGAGAAGCAGAGAGCAAAAGAAAAATGCAAGGGTGAAGCAGACAGACTGGTTGCTAGAGACATTAGTTTGGCAATGAGGCATCCAGATGCTAATAGCCAAGGCAATGGGAGAAAGGCCCCGAGGGCATTTCAGAAGTCTGGAAGGGCCACCCTCCCACCACAGGCCCTGAGGCCTAGAAGGATGCAGCTGTCCCAGAATTGTAAGCCAATAAACCTCTTTTCTTTATAAATTACTCAGTCTCAGGTATTCTATTATAGCAACACAAAACATACTAATACAAGATTCAACCCCAAAAGATAGATCCTCTCTAAGGACACTTTATAGTCAAATTGGCAAAGCTCAAAGACAAAGAAAGCAAGAGAAAAGCATCAAGTCACCTATAAGGGAATCCCTATCGGACTAACAGCAGACTTCTCAACAGAAACTGTACAGGCCAGAAGAAAATGGGATGATATATTCAAAATACAAAAAGAAAAAAACTTCCAGCCAAGAATACTGTACCTAGCAAACCTAGCCTTCAGAAAATAGTGTATTTGCCAGACAAACAAAAACTGTGGAAGTTCACGACTACATGACCAGCCCTACAAGAAATCCTCAAGGAAGTCTTGCATCTGGAATCCAAAAAATAATAATCACTACCATGAATACACAAGAAAGAACAAAACCCATTGGTAGAACAAAAACACAAACAAGAAAGAGAAAGAAACTAAATCTTACCATAACAAAAAACTGTAATGACAATTTAATGTCCTTGCTTTATTTCTTTTTTTTTTTTTTTTTTTTTTTTTATAAAAGATGACCAGTAAGAGGATCTTAACCCTTGACTTGGTGTTGTCAGCACCACGCTCTCCCAAGTGAGCCATGGGCTGGCCCTCTTGCTTTATTTCTGATTTTAGTAAGTTTGGTCTTCTCTCTTTTTTTCTTGGTCAGTCTAGATAAGGTTTGCAAATTTTGTTGATCTTCTTAAAAAATCAACTTTTGGTTTTGCTGATTTTCTCTATTGTTTCCTAATCCCCTATTTCATATATTTTTGTTGTAATCTTAATGTTATTTACTACTTATATTTGCTTTTGGTTTAGTTTGCTGTTCTTTTTCTATTTTCTTAAGGTAGAAGTTTACATTACTGATTTGAGATTCTTCTTATTTTTAATGTAGGTGTTTACAAGTATAAATTTTCCTCTAAGCACTGCATGAGCCCTACATCCTAAAATTTTGATATGTTGTGCTTTGATTTTTATCTCAAAGTACTCTCTAATTTCTGTGTGACTTTCCTCTTTACCCATTGTTTATTTAGGAGAGTGTTGTTTAATTTCCACACGTTTGTGAATTTTCTAAATTCCCTTCTATTATTGTGGTCAGAGAACTTATTTTCTATGATCTTAGTCTTTTTAAATGTATCAAGACTTGTTTTGTGGCAAAAGCCAAAAAACCCCTACATTTTACATTATATAATGATGAATATGCCAACTATCCTGATTTGATCATCACATATTGTACACAAATACTGATAGTCAACTCTGTACCTTACAAATATGTATAACCAATTATGTTTCAATAAAAAAATTAAAGATAAAGATAAAAATAGGGAGATTGAGCAAAAAAAAATTTTTGGCCATTTTGGTGGGTGTGTAATGTTCTCTCATTGTGATTTTAGTGTGCATTTCCCTGATAAAGTTCAAGAACTTTAAACTTGTTTATTAGCCATTTGGATGTGCTCTTTAGTAAAGTATATGTTCAGGTCTTTTGCCCATTTTTCTATTTGATTATCTGTCTTTTTCTTAATGAATTTAGGGATTTTTTATACATCCTGGTGTGACTCCTTTGTTAGACATACATACTGAGAATGTCTTCTCCCAAAGTTGCCTCTTTGCTCATTATAGTGTATTTAGGAACAGAGGTTCTTAAGTTTAGTATAGTCTAATTCATCAATATTTGGAAAATACTTTAAGATTATAATGTATTGACATAAAACCAGCTGGAATTCATGAGATATATTTTGTGCTTGGCTTAAAGAAGACAGCAAAAAGCAGTCTCATAATTAATTGTGACAAAAATGATCAAATTTTAATTTTTACGTTAATACATATATGCAATAAATGTTGAATAGCATAAGTACATGTTGAAATGATAACTCGAGCTATCCAACATAGACTGTTCATCAGCAAATATTCTATATGCAGGATGACTATTGGTAGATACTCTTTACATACTGAGACAAGAGTCACAAATTCATTTAACTGTCACTTTCTTATGATGTTCCTCATATGGCACACTGTTTCTTAAGGCAGACTATCCAATCATTTAAGAACAACTCTATAAATTTGTTCAATATGTCATATATATACACACATATATAAAATTTAGAAGGAAGCTATTGCTAGTATTGATACTTTTTGTAGAACACCAGCTGACATCTTACAGGACTGTAGTATACCTCAGAGCTCTAGCTTAAGCAAAGTACAAAAAAGTATGTAAATACATGGTAGGTGATAGTAGCTGAATAGTAGTTCCACATGGCTAGAGAGTGGTGTGAATGGGAGAGGACAAGGGAGTGGGGGCAGAGAGGAAGGGATGGGAGATAAGCAGGAGGAATAAACAAGAATAAGATTTTGACAGTTCTCAAGTGCCCCACTGTGGTACTTTAACTCTATCCTGTATGAACACTGGGAGTGTCATGATAAGATCTGTATTCTTGAAAATTAACTCTGATGGCAGTGTGGAAGACAGATTGGATGAAAGGAACTGTTGGCAGGTAGAGCAGGGGCTACTGCAATAATAAAGGGGAGGACTGAGTATGTTCTAAGCTGAGGCAGTGGCAGTGAGAAGGGAAAGGACAAAACAGATTTGAGAACTCTTCAAGTGAATGGAATTTAGTGATTGGACATGAGGTATGAAGGAGAGAAAGAAGCCAAAGACCAAGCTGCTTCTAGCCCAGATGATTGGAGTGGATGCTGATTCACCTGTCTGAGAAGGAAACCTGAGATCAGGTTTAGCCAGGAGTGGTTGAAATAAACTGAATTTAAGGGATCTACAAAGTGGTCTAGGTGCAGATGTTCAGAAAATAGGAATATACAAAATAAAATTTAAAAAAAAAGAAAATAGGAATATAAACGTGAGACTCAGCAGAAACAGGGACTTGAAGTCTTCTCTGTATAGGCTGTAGCTGAAGCTGTGAAACTAGAAGAGATTATACAAGAAGAGAGTTATGAGAAAAGGACTAAAAGACAGAATCCTGGGAGAGAACCAACATTTAAAGGGCAGAACGACTGGAAAAAATAAAAGAGTCTGAGGTAGATTGTGTAGGGATAGGTGAAAAACCAAAATAATGTTATGGCATCTTGAGGGAAAAGAAAAGAGTGTGTAAGCAACAGTGTCAAACGCTGCAAAAAAGTTACACATTATGAGGAATGAGAAGAGGTCAATGACAGGATGTATTTGGTGACTCTGGAGAGAACAGTGTAGAATGGAGGAGGGTTAAAGCCAGATTGCAGTGGGGTCTGAGGACTGTATAAGAGGGAAGGAGGTTATATAATCATAGTATAACTCTAGTTTTGCCTCAAATCCATGGATCATTGTGAAATAAATCATTTTAGTCTTGAATTACTTGGGTGATTGTCTCTGCCTTACAGCTCTACCTTGCCCATGAATATCTAATTTAATGCAGTATTCAATGCCCTGTTTTCTTTTGAGTATCTTAAAAAGTTATCAAATTTGAAGTCTTGAAAAATCTCTTCATAATATCTGTGGTAATTATGTGATGGGATGAATACATTAAAGAATACTAATATTTTTCACCTTTGTTTTATTCCAGGAAACAGTTTTCCCATCCCAAATCACTAATGAGCATGAGTCATTGATAATGGTGAAGAAACTTTTTGCTACTTCTATCTCATGTATAACATATCTAAGAGGACTTTTTCCAGAAAGCTCTTATGGAGAACGCCATTTGGATGGTAAAATTCAACTAAATGGTTACTTTGTCTGTTGTAGCCATTTTCCCTATTTAGAAGGAGTGAACTTCTCATTTCTCACAGAGTGCACTAATTTTACCTCATGGGCCTGCTCTTTAAGACCAATTAGCTAATCCATTTTTCATTTTGGTTTCACTATGTTTAGTGGTTTTTCTTATAAGAACCATTAGTTTCTGGCTCAATACCAAATGACAGACTGAGGAAAAAAGAAATCTGTATGGACAAGGCCAGTAATTCTAAGATCTACCTATAAAAGCAACAACCAGATCAAAATCTATTTGAATGCTGTAGATTTGTACCATTTTGTGCCTCAGTTGAATTTGTTCCTTGAGGTATACTTTGGCATTGAGGAGTTCAAAGGAACTGGGGAAAAAACTCTTCTTCCTATTAACTTATATAAATACACTGGGGGAAAAATGCCAAACTCATTTGTTGATTAGCATGGATATTTAGACAACCCCTCCCCCCATCATCTGATGGTCAATTATGTTATACTAATCAGTTCCATTCTTTTCTCACTTGCCAGGTCTTCTACTTTCATTCCTTTTGTTTCTTGTGCCCTTAAGTTTATCATCTCATTGCCTTATATTACAATCTGTTTCTGGCTCTTTTCCTTGATTTGTATTTAAAAAAAAAATGTACCTAGGACTCTTCAATTTTTCAAAATCTTATTGTCTATTTGTTTGAAAAGCTGGATTGTGAGTCTTGTTGATTTGTCACTAAAATAGGAACTGTCATTTGGAAAATAAATATAGAGAGCTACTAGTTTCCTTGTAAGATGTTATTTTTCAAAATCTAATTTTATATTTCTCATATCTGTATTTAATGATATAACTTGGCCTCATTCACTTTAATTTTCTTAAGCAGTATTTGGCTCTTTATATGAACATCAATGAAATGTGCGTGTGCTATGATCACATAGCATGATATTTGCAATCATGAAAACCTTATTTGTATTATGGCCTCCTTTGATCTATGGGATATAAATTTGTAATAGTGAGTGTGTTTATATGTAGCGGATAGCTGCAGTTTCCCCTCTTGTTAAGAACTCAAAATTGAAAAGACATGTTTTGAGTAATTAGGCACTTATTGTGTGCCGATCACTACCCTAGGCATGGGGGTGATACCATTTCTATGACTTTATTTTTTGTGACACTTATAGTGAAAGTTATGTCTCCCTCGCAATGACTTTAAGTAACATACATCATAAAAATGCTCATTACACATATGTCTCACTCTCTTTCTGATAATTTCTAAATGTTACACCAACATGGAATAATTTTCATAACCCTCAAGAGAGGTGGAGGTAATATCAACTTTAGGATAGGAGAACAATATGAGAAGGTGAGGTGACTCATGCGAAGTTATACATAAATCAGTGATTGATTTTGGACTGATCTAAACCCAAAACTCTTTTAATATGATCTTCCTTTTCTTCCCTAAGTAGTTGGATTTCAGATGGAAATAAATAGTTGGGAATAATCCATGTGAAATTTTTTTCTTCTTTTTTTTGATTGGGAGGGAGAAAAATAACATAAATGACCGAGATTGCGGTGCATGTTTTAAATTGATCACTGGAAGCCTGGCCAGTTAGCTAAATTGGTTAGAGCATGGTGTTATAATACCAAGATCAAGGGTTGAGATCCTTGTATAAGCCAACCCCCAGAACCAACCAAACAAACAAACAAAATTTGTCCCTGGATATGGTCTTAATACTACTGTTGACCTGAAAAAGAAACTGAGACCAAATACATACAGCAAGGATTTATTGAGCCAATATGATGATCACAGTCAGAGAGACACATAGATCAGGTTGCCCTGAAAAATGTGTTCAGAAGAGGGCCAGCAAAGCTTAGCATTTTATAATCACAAGAAGGGGGAAGGATCAAAGGAGAGAGGACAGCCCTGCCTAATTACTTCATCAGATTTTCTATTGGTTCTACATGATGTTTAGATTCGGGATTGTTACTAGGTTACATAAGTATTACAAGAAGCATTCTAGGTTATTTCACGGTTTTTTAGTGCTATTAAATCTGCTTGTAAGTTAAGATGGTCTTATAATAATGTTTCCCAGGACAGGTGGATGTGACTACTGACTTATCCCAGATCTTCCAAGGCACTGTAATTTAGCTGGCCTGGTCAGAGCAGATTCTTTAGGTTATCATTGCCTCACTATTACTTAGAATTCAACAGAAGCAACACAAATTGTTTTTGTTACCAAGTCATTTGGCTACATTGTAGAAGAGGGAGACTGCTAAACTATAATCAGAATTGGGACTAAGCTAATTATCTACATAGAATTATTTTTAAAGTAGATATTTAGAGATTCAAAGTGTTTTTATGCTATAAAACTAAATAAGTTATATATATAAAATAGTTAAAGGAAATACCCTATTTAGCATGGGCAATTTCAGTACAGCAGTCTCTTACTAGATGAAAATAGACTGTTTCTGTTTTTGTAGACCTCAGTTTAAAAATCCTCCGAGAAGACAGAAAATGTCCCGGGTCACTACATATTATCAAGTGGTAAGTAATTGAAATTCCACAAAAGTTGAACAACATTATTTTTATCATGGCTGAAATTACCCATAAGACTTTATTTGGTAAGATTATTTCCTTAAAACCAATACTTCCTTTCTTTCCCTCTATTTTTTTACAATTTCCTAGACATTTGTAACAATTAATATTATTTTAAGATACTGATTTAACTTTGTTTTTGAAAGAAAATAGGCTTGTATAAAGATAAAAAAATCAATAAAAATTTGATTATTCATTATGTGCATGTCAGTGTACTGAACATTATAGAAGACCCCCAAAAAAGATGTGGTTCCCTGCCTCAAAATTGCTTACCTATTATTAAGTTTTGTCAACATATTAAAAAATGCTATGAGTTTTAAAAAATGATTAAATGGGAAAGGTAAAATGATTATCAATTTAATGTATGTCAAAGTAAAAAATTTAAATGAATTCTGTTTTTGGAATTTTTTTGGCTTTGCATCTGGTCCAAATTGACATCAATATTTCTTTCTTGACAGGATTCAAGGTTGTTTTGATGCTTTGGAAAAGAGATACGTAAGAAATTTTTAAAATTTACTCCAGGGAAGACTCATCTTTTATCCCTTAAAAAAAGTTTACATTTTTATTTTGTTGTTGTGTTTAGTAGCGTGCCAGTGTCTACATTTGCATTCATGAGCCAGTTTCCTTTTATTTTGTCTTTGTTGTCCCATTGATGTCTCCTTTACATCAATTAGAAATGAAACCCTCGTTCTCCTCTTTTATATACACATATCTTTTCAACCACAGAATTTCTTCTGAAGTCACTGGAAGAGAGCCACAGGATGTGGGACAGGAGGAGACAGGAATCTGGCATCTAGCACACTGAACATGTTTGACATAGTGGCAATTCAATTTGCAGATATGAAAGGAAAAAATTAACTTGAATAATTGATTTTTACTCTTGGTTATTTTGTTAACTATGTTTGGTCCATGTGTATAACCTGTTTCCTCAAAATAGCTAGTATCGTACCTTGAGTTTTTTTAAAACACAGCTTAAATTTTATGTGCATCTGATCTTTCATCATGCCCAAGATAGCTATGAAGGGTGTAAAAAAAGGAAGTTCTAGTCCTAGCTGAAGAGACAAGATGTATATAAATGAAATTTCTACCACTGCTTTCCCCCCTTTTCCATGTGTGTGTCTTCGTTTTTCTCCTCAAACCTATTCCTTTAAGAAGTCTTGAGGTTAGTAAACCTTCCGTTGGATTATTTAGTGTATTCATACATGTCTCTTTTCACTGAACAGTTATTATGATTTATTCAACACTGACCTGTGGTACTGAGGGATACAAAATAAAACAGATGTAAGAAAGAGCTTATAGACCATGGTAGAAGATAAGTGATATTCATATGAGGGCTGATGATCAACTGTTACACACTGGACAAGCTGTGCCTGTTGTTAAAATATTAAAATACTTCTATACTGGGTAGTAAATAGCTGCTTTTCTGAGACCCCATGTAATCCCCTCAAATATCCTACCCCTCACTCCATGATGGCTCTTTTGTGATCTCCCCAGACTGCCCATAAATTCAGCAATGAAAGGGTTAAAACCTAGTCCAAGGGTTGCTTCCAGGAACCCAGCTCCAGGGCTAAGTTTCTGATTGGTCAGTACCTGTACCATATTGGACTTTACTGACTTTTTTATATCATTTTGATATTTTTCTGTAAAAATATCAGAGATATTTTGACTATCACCCCTGTCCCAAGTACAAGTAACCATAATACTTATGAGAAATTGACACATGCCAAAGGAAAGATACTGATCATGTGCAGTGGGAAGAATGGAAAAGGAAATGATATACCCAGTGAGGGACATGAGGGAAATCATTGATAGAAAATGGCTTTTGAGCTTTGAAGGCCCTGAGTATTTGGACAGGGGAAGAGGGGAAGAAGGTCACCACTGGCATACCAAACAATGCTCATTCATTCTCCTCATTCATTCATTTAGCAGCATTTCCTGGGTGTCCATCATTGAGTGGGCAGTACAATATAGTTAAGAGCTTGAGTTTTGGAGTCAATCTGGGGTGAATCCCAGTTCTGTCACTTAATACCTGTGTGACCTTGGGCAAGTAACCTACCTCTTGCTTGGTGCCTTAGTTTCTTTATATATAAAATGGGGATAATAATAGAACCTTCCTCTTAGGGTTATTTGACAATTAAACGAGTTAATAATCAAAAGCATCAGAATAGTTGGCATCAGAATCATCTGGAGGACTTTTTAAAAGACAGATTGCCAAACCTTACCCCAAAATTTCTGATGTGAGAATTTGCATTTCAGACAAATTCTAGGTGATGTTCTTACTGCTTGTCTAGGAACCATACTTTAGAACCACTGACCTCAAATGTTTAGAACAATGCCTGGCACATAATAAACACTATGTAAATGTTAACTGTTTATTCATTCATTCTTTATACATTGGCTGTTTAATCTGTGCCAGGCATGCCTAGGCACTGGATGAGATAAAGAGTAAGATGTGATTCCTCCTCCCAAGGAGGTCACAGTCTAATAGAAAGAGTCACTTCTTAAATAAACAATTACAGTATTACGTGTACTAAAATAGCAGTGTAAAGTACAAAGAGTATCTAGCTAGTTTGATGAATTTATTTTACTAAATGACTACCTGTATTACTGACTCTATCAAATGAACTAGGGAAGATCAAAAGACAAACTCTTACATATATGATTTAGATTCTTAAGTAAATAGTATTCATATTGTTTTCCATTTGTTAATATTTTATAACTTTTCTCAGGTGATCTTGCTAGTAGTTTGAGTAAAGTCAAGTTTGAATATATAAAGATATTTATGATTATTTTTATTTATTTCAACAAGAGATGTTCTCTTGTTGAAGAGCATATTTATTTCTAGTGAAATTTTGTGTGATTTTTATGCTGTTTTCTTTGTACTTTGATTATGCTTGAATTCTTTAAATCAAGCATGCATATGTATTTTTAGATAACTATTATTAAAAAGAGACTATATTGTATATAGCTACCTAACTTGCCTCCTATTCCCATTCTCATACCCCACCATTCCAACCCACTGTCCACACTACATTCTTTCAGAAACCTGAGTCTGATCATGTCATTCTTTTACCTAAAAATTTTCCAGGGCTTTAAAAATAGAGTTCAGAGGCCTTTGCATGATCTGCAAGGCCTGTATGATCCCTATCTGTCTTTCCAAGGCATCATTCTTGCTCCCATGTTCAAGCCACACAAGGAATCTTGAACGTGCCAAGCCCCTTTTATCTTTGTACATATTGTTCTTTTTGTCTGGAAAACTCTCCCCTACCCCATACAGTTTGCCTGGATAACTCCACTTTATCCTTCAGGTCTCAGCTTAAATATTGACTTCCCCAGGGAGACCTTCCCTGACACTCCTTGCATCCCCAGCCTAAATTGTCCCTTTGTTTAATGTTCTCATTGTACCTGGTGCTGCTTCTTCATAGCAATTAACACAGTTGTAATAATGTAACTATCTGTGCTATTTTTTTGGTTTAATGTTGGTCTTCCCTGCTGGTCTGCATGCTCTATGAGCTAAGGGCCATGTTTATTTTTGAATGACTGAATGAACTATTAATTAAATAATTAACATAAATTAGATTTTCACTGTGTATTCTTAAAATCAATTATATGCAGTAACCAAAATAGCCACACAGTGTCACTAAAGTTTTAGTCCTTTGATAAAAATTTACAGCTCTGGAAATTTCTGATTTGTATTCTAGTTTTTAAAAATTTATCATAGGCTTGGTTGTTTCTATGTATGTACATGCTATTACTCTTTCAAGCATAGAGAATCTGTTTATAGTAGTGTATATGTAGGACGGGCAAGGGTTTTATAGACCTCTCAAACTAGAGTGTAACTTTTTAGCCACCTCCCCCGCCTTTTTTTTTTTTTGCAACCAGCTGATATAGGAATTGAACCCTGGACCTTGCTGTTATCAACACCACATTTGAATCAATTGAGCTAACCGGCCAGCCCTCCAGTTAGAGTATAACTTTTTGAGAGAAGGGATAGTTATCTTGCTTATTTGTATCCCTCTCCTCTCCAGCTGAGCCTTCTGTATGTAATGGGCACTCACTTCAATGAAAGAATAATTAGTATCCCTTTTCTGACCTTCTGAATAGTAATATTTTCTACCCAAATCTTTGGAACCCCTCTGAAATAATATTTTAATTAGCTTCTAGTGAAAATGACACTGATATTGGTACAAATACATAATAACAATAGTTTTCTTTTCTCTTGAAGCTACACATGGCAATACTTACAGTAAGTACACGTTTAAAGACTAAATTTCTGTCTCTACTTCATTGTCTTTTGGCAAGCAAAACATTAAAACTGTACGCTCCCTTTCCTCCCTGACTTTCTTTATCTGTCTTATGACATGTTGGAATTAAAAAAAATAGGATTTATTAGAAGTTTTAATAAAAGATTACAAACTATTTCTTTGGCATACTATAATACATGGGAAAATACATAGGATATACTATGTGTTTTCTTCATCTATTGGCTACATCTATTGGCTCTCAGGATTTATTTTTATTTTTATTTTTATTTTGCAGACTCAAAGGTTTTTGTTTTTGAAGTTTTGTAGAATTTTTTGAGGTTTTGTGTACCTCTGGGTATAACATGGTGTATATAGTTAAGAATAGAAAGAAAATGAGAAGATACCATTGAGAGTCTTAGGTATATGATTTATTAAAAAATTTTAAACCATAGCAAATTATTTATAATTTATTTGTACTCAGTCACAGTAATTATAAATACCTCATTATCAATTACTTTATATTCAATGTTCATAGAATATTCTAAAGACTCTGTATGTTCAGAGTATGAGCTTATCTGTAGCTTGAAATATGTCAATATTCAATTAATAGAGCACAAAATGGACTACTTATATAGAAAGTATATTCCATGAGGAGTAATCTAGTAAGATTCAGAAATTAAATGCAGTTTATTTTTCCTTAAACAGCTTTACACAAATCCCAAGGAACCTGAGGTAAGAACACACACATATAGGTGGGCAGTGTGTGTGTGTGTGTGTGTGTGTGTGTGTGTGTGTATACAGTATTTAAATATGTTTACCTGAGTTGAGGCTATAGACTATGTTACTAGACTACCATATAAGCAGAGTAACTTACAGTGAGCTCTTTCAGTACATTTTATTATTAGGGGATTTTCAAAACTATTTAGGGATATCGGGGGTGGGGGGGGGAGCATTTAGTAGAACTGAGCCTATTCCTTAACATGTTAACATCAAGACTTAATGTATGAATGTAACAAAAATCACATTTTACTATTTATTTTTATTATAACTGATTCTGAATTTCTGTTTATAGCCTTTTGGAAAAATAAATGAGATATGGCATAACTCTGAAGATTTTTGCCAACTAAATTCTCCCCTGTTGACCTTTTTCATAGATTTTCAGAGCTTTACCTCTTTACTCCTCTAGATTTCTTCCCTCTGCTTGGTTATTCCTATTCATACTCCAGGCCAACTTATGTTCAAATCTTTCATGAATGCCACTTTAGCTATTCTGTCTACACTTCTTCCCTAAATTCCTTTTCCAGCAGAACTCCACAATTTAATACTCTCATTTGGTTCATGTAGATTACTTTATCTCCCCAACCACATTATGAATTCTTGAGGACAAGAGTCTTGTTTTTTACCTCCCAGAGTGAATATTGTAGTCCGGGATACGTAATAGTTACTTGTACCACTTGGAATGGCAGCTGTGTCTGTGGCATAGAAATGAAGGGAGAAGCCCTCTGTTCTTTCTTCTCCTTCTGTTCTCTTGTTTTCCTCCTAGCTTTCTTTCTCCTTGCTTTCAGTTTTCCTTCTTTTAGCCTATGGATTTAGCCCAACTGGTGGTATTAAAGATTAAATTAAGCGTTTTTAGACCTTAATATCCTTTCTTTGCCAGACTACAAATAACAGTTTAAGCAAGGGGAAAGAAAACTGTTGCATATAGGTGGGTAGAAATTTCTCAATGCCCAAATTAGTGATACCTCTTTTTATCTTTGTCTCTTGTTTAGTTTCAAAAAATGCTTTTTTTTTTTTTTTGTAGGTTTGAGGGGGAAGTTTCCAAACTAAATTGTTAATAGATTTTTTTTTTTTAGTGCAGTGTTTATCATGTTTTCTTATGCATTCAAAACTCCTAATTTGAAACCAGTGGTTTTTGGGGTGGTTAAATGCTGAGCAAATTTGGCTTAAGTACAGAAAAATCTTACAGAGTAGGAAGAAAACTGTTAAATGAGTTTTGATGCAGGCATATATAATAATCAATTTAGGAAAGAAAAGCTTATTATACAGTTAAGTTCTCAGCTATTGTTTATGACCCAGGAAAAAAATATTTTGAATGTTTACAGGTTGTTCCCTATAGTAGTAATCCCTAACTTCTAGGTGTTCATGGCTCACTTTTGATTACTAAAAAATTTGGTAGCACATTTGAGGGTATTAAAAGACATGAAAGAACACCACACAAGTCAGCAATAATTACAGTATAACTACTACTGTGGTATAGCAATGTTCTAGTACCTAAAAGTATCCATGAGTTTACACTGTTTATCAAGTCACTGATACAACTGTTTACCTTCCTGATCTCATTCTCTTAGCTACTCACAGAACAGCATTCTCACGTAAACATAGTCTTCAGCATTTATCTGATGTTGTGCCGTATTTCTTGAGTCATACCCCTAGAAGTATATCCTTCCCTAAACAAAATTGTGCAAACAATAACAATGTTAATATTTACCTGAAGCAAAAATACACTTTACACGTGGATTAAAATTTGCAGCACTTTTGTGAAGAGTATGTCATGGTACAACAGTTGAGAACCTCCAGCTTAAATCAAACAAGTGTGCTTCCCTAGTTAGAAAGCCAACAGAGTTTTGAACATTATACAAAGTTGTGGTGCTTCTGCACTTGAAGTTTTGTTCTGTTTGCTCCCATCTCATGAAAGAGATGAACCAACATAAGTAACTGAAGTAGAGAAGAGTGAAAATGTAGCTTTTTTACAGGCACATACCACAAAATGAGTGGCAGATTATTAATAAAATATGTAAGCCAAAATGTAAATATATTAAAGGAAGGTTGGGCTGACCCCGTGGCTCACTCGGGAGAGTGCGGCTCTGGGAGCACAGCGACGCTCCCACCGCGGGTTCGGATCCTATATGGGATGGCCGGTGCGCTCACTGGCTGAGTGCGGTGCGGGCGACACCAAGCCAAGGGTTGCAATCCCCTTACCAGTTACAAAAAGGAAAAAAAAAAAAAAAAAAAAGAAAGGTTAACATGACTTAATGCATGATAGACTATAAAGAATGGTTACATATGAATATTGTGAGGAAACAAATCTTACTGTTTCACTATCTATTTCTTTGTGCCTACTGGACATGGTCAGCACTCACATTTAACAGATTGCTTCAGGAACTGAGCTATAGGTGGTCCCTATAGTATACTTTTATATATATATATATATATATATACACACTTGTATATAAGTATATATATAATATACTTTTAGCTACTTAGTAATAAGTATATTATACTTATACTATATTATACTTATACTAAAAGTATATATATATATAAAATATACTTTTAGTTACTTTGTTTTTTTCTTTAAAAAAACCTTACAGAATGAAATCCTAATTGAACATGAACTCTATCCTGGCTGAATATTTATTCATTCAGCAAATATTAAATGGATTTCTTTTCTGTGCTTAGCACTGTTCAAGGTATAAAAACGCAGAAGTGAATGGGATAGACAAGGTCCCTGCTGTCTAGAAACTTACATTCTTATGAGGGAGGATAAACAATAAGTAAACAAAATGAGCACAGTTTCAGATAGTCATAATGCTATAAAGAAAATTTTAAAAGGTAGTGTGCTAGAGAGTGCTGAGGTAGAGAATGGAGAAGGAGGGATTGGATTTGGATGGCTGTGTTAGAAGGTTTACCTGAGGGGCCATTGTTTGAGCTGAGACTGAATGACCAGAAGGAATCAACCTATGCAGGTCTGTGAAAGGCAACAGTATGTGACAGGCAGAATAACACAGTAGTTAACATTACAAGCACTAGGGTCAAATCCCAGCTCTACCACTAACTAGCTTTATGAATCATGAGAATAATAATTTCTACTTCAGAATGTTAGCTACAGAAGAATGAACTGATGTAAGGTGTTTAGGGCAATGCCCTAATATTATCACCATCAGCTGGAGACAGCACGTTCCAGAGTATAGCTGTGTAAAGGCCCTAAGGTAGGAAGGAACCTTTGGTGTTTGTGGATGGAAAAGGTGCCATGAGCCTGGAGATTAGTGAGTGGAAGGTAAAGTGGCAGGAGATAAGGTCAGTGAGGAAGGCAGGGGACAGATGAGTAGAGCATTGTAGACTAAGGTAGTTTTTAGATTTTATTCTAAGGGTGGTGGGAAGCCATTGGAGGGTTTTAAGTAAAAGAATGACACGGTCTGGTTTGTATTTTCAAAAACTCTTTTTGGCTATAGAACAGAGAATGAATCAGATGGACTTGTGATTTGATTTGGAGGTAGACCTGAAAAGTCTTGCCAATAAATTGGAATGTAGAGGAAGAAAAGCTGCATATGTTGCTGTTGCTTTTGGTCTACGTGAATATATTCAGTATGATTAATAGAAACCATTGATGAGCATTTTAAAGGCTCATCTTTATTAGGCAACACTTCAGTATGAAAAGTGGGAGAATGTCTTATAAGGTGTTAAGAAGAAACAAGTGCCTGCTATAAATATAAAAAGATAGCTCACAGCATCAAAAAGCTAAAGCTGATTGAGAAACATGGGCAGGCAGGAATTAGGTATTGTTTGCTTGAGAGAACAATTATACCCAGCATTTGGCTAAGAGAGGACACTGTGTATCTGTTGCTGTAGGTACTTGCAGGTACCACAAATCTCACCTATTGTATTCACAAAGCAGCCTTCTAAACTTTGATTTGTCAAGTACACTGTCTTGCTAGAAAAATACTTTCTCATTTAAAATTAACTCTATTACACAGCAGTCTCCTTAGAGTTTAAGCGCATGAGCCAATTTTCCCAAGACCTGATAACCTATGATTAAGTTATATGTTAAATTTCAAGATCAGCAGAGGTGGGAGACCAAATCTTAAAGTAACAGGAACACTGAGGCTTTTTCTGATCAATCTAACATTGTCATTCCTACTTTGTCAAGGATCAAATACTGAACCAGATGAATGAGGAGCATTTTTGTGTGTTCTGACTTAAATTTTACTTGTCTTTATCATCTTCTCCAGTTCTGCGGACAAATTGTACAACATATCTGGGCCAAACCTTTGCTTCAATTGCAAGGCAATCATTTTATATTAAATGGAGTATGTCTCTCATGAGGGAAGTTTGTCCCTCTTTATTTCTGGCTTTCTTAACAGTGAGGAGAGCAGATAACAGTGGTATCTAATTTTTAGTTCAAGGTTGAAAAAACAAGACTTGATGCCATAGATCCCGGTTCCTTTACTAATTTTTCTAATTTTCCTGTTGCCGTTCTAGTCTTCCTTGAATTACTGCAATAGCCTTTTTTTTTTTTTTTGGTACTTTTTTATTAGCATATTTATTATTACAAATTGTAATTATTCTTTATGCCTTTACCCGACCAATCACTCCTCAAGCCCCCTCCCTTTCTTGCCACCCATCTCTATTTTCCTTAGGTTTGTTCTCTCCTTCTGAAAGTTCAACGTATTTGCAATAGCCTCTTAATTGCTCTCACAGTTTCCACTTTTTCCCCTGTGCACTCTTAAAGTAGCCAGGGTGATCTTTTAAAAATACAAATAATTCCCCTGCTTAAAACCCTTCAATAGACTTCTAATTTACTTAGAATAAAATCCAAATCCATTGCCATGGCCAACAGGCCCTCACAACCTCCTCTACAACCTTATCTCCTATATTCTGCTCCTTGCTCATTCATCTCCAGCCATTTGGCTTCCTCTCTTGTACTGGAAGAGGCATCCCTTCCTGCTTTAGAACCTTTGCATTGCTGTTTCCTCTGCCTGGGGTATCCTACCCCCCTAGGTCTGCACATGACTTCCATCTCTCAAGGCTCAGCTCATACCTCATCTCTTCCGTGAGGCCTTTGTTGGCCCTTCCAAAGCAAATCAGCACTTCTCCCCTTCATGTAATCTCTATCACAGCATCTGCTTCATATTACTCACAACACTTATACTATCTGAAAATGTTTTATTTGATTACTTATTTATTGACTGTCTCCCTGACTAGACTGTATATTCCAGAAAAACAGAGAACTTTTCTGTCTTGTTCACCATGGTAACTCCAGTGTCTGACACAAAGTGGGCATTCAATAAAATATTTGTTACTATAAGTAGTTGAATGGTTTCTCAACTAGTTTCACAGTCATTTACCTAGTCAGGTCAGACACTTGACTCTGCCTTAGTTTTTCCAGCTTTAAAATGGTAATGGTAGTTTTTGCCATCTAACTCATTTTTAGCACAGAGGAGAAAAACTAAGTTATCATTATATCTGGAGATATTACTCCTAAATAATGTAATGTTGTAAAACAAACAGGCATGTAGGAAGTATAATAGGTATATAATGAAAATGTTCCTTACTTATTATCAGGTAAGACTCTGGATTTCTTTCTTAAATTAACTTCTTTCTGTATTTCCTTTGGTTTTTCTAGAAGGTGACTGAGATATATCAGTTCAAATTCAAATACACAAAAGAAGGAGCCACTATGGATTTTGACAGGTAGAATCTAATTGTTTAATGTATATGAGAAACATAGGATTAAGGTAAACGTAAACTTCTTGAGATCAGAGATAGGTCTTACACTCCTTTTGTAATTTCCCTACAAACCCTACGAAAAACCACTATTCTAAAAAGGGACTGTTGTAATTGTCTAAATATCTGAAACCCATGGAGTAAGCTTGTAGGAGTAGAGGCAATGATGGGCAGTAGACATTATATTGATAAGGCTATCTATACGATGTTAATTGAAGAACTCCATAAGTTTCTGTCTAGCCATTAACCCAAAGTTCTCAATTGCTATGCCAAGATATTGATCCTTTCTACCCTCAATATAGCCAGACTGGGCCTGGGGCAGTTACAACCCCTCGACTATTTGCTTACATACATGAATATTCTTATTTGCTTACGCCAGCAAGTCAAACAAGTATCATTTTCTATATGTATCCCTGTATGGAAAAGACTGGAAAGCACTGGACTTTCCTATCAAGTCTAATCTCCAAGTTTTAGATATATTAATGGGTTAAATGGCAAAGACAAGGATATTTGCTTCACAAGTTCCCTGGTACAGATGGAGATGTTTTGTTAAGCAGCAACATTTATTCCTCTCTCAATAGCTTTTGGATTCAGATCAACCAGGAGGCATAGAGAGCTAAGTACTGATGATGAAATGGAATAGAAGTGGAAGTGCAGATGATGGTGAACAACCCTGGGTAGCCAAGTAAGACGGATAGGTGCCCCTGAATGGAATGACTCTGAAGAAAAGCATGACCTAATTCTCAGTTTTCCCCACTAATGGCTGTGGCTCATCATTTACTGTGAGCTTGAGGATTTCTCTCCAAAGTTCCCTTCCTTAATTATTCTCTCATTTGTAAAACTTACAGACAGCATTCAGATATGAATAGAAAATTAGTTCCAGAAATAAGAATTAAAATATTAATCATCATTAGCTAACATTTGTATGGCATGTTACAGATTTTATAGCATGTTTCACACATATTTTCTCACATAAAACAGTTGCCTTTTACTTTCCAAAACCCAGACGTACGGACTACTGACAACCAGACTAATCTCTTTTGTTTTGAAGGCACGTATGCCAAGAGGTAAGCAGAAAAAACAGAAATGGCCATATCTTGCAGATACTAAGGAAGAGAGAAGGTAATGCATATTACTAATATCCTAGAAACCAAAGATAGGCATTTGTTTAAATGGGAGTCCTGAATATGATTTTACTGATGTATCCTAGAAGATCCTATGAGCTATATGTCTATAGTCCTTCACTCTGGTCACCTGTGTTAAAATTCTGGTCGACAAAACTTAAGTTGTTCAAAATTTAAAAGAAGCTAATATATTCACTTAATAAATGTTTACTTTATGAATTCACATTGCTTCCAAAGATCAGTTAGGGAAAAATCCAACAATTCAATTACTTAGGATTATTTTGATAATAGAATTCTTAATATGCAAGGCACTGTGCAAATATATTTTAGTCATAGGCCTTCCTGGAAATTACTCAAATGTGAGATTGATTAGGGAAGAAAACTTTGGAGAGAAATAAAAGAGTTTTAGAATTAGAGGATTATTTAGTACAACGTTGTTTATTGATTGATCGATTGCGGCTGGCCCGTATCATTCATTTAATACTTCAGCAAATGTTTATCGAGTAGCTGGGCACCAAACTCAGTACTGGGGAGATGAAAGATATAGCCACTCACAGTCTAGAGTGGGACAAGCAATCATCCAGAGGGGTAAGGTTTGGGGATTATCAGGGAAGACTTCCTTGAAGAGTGGGCACATTAGGTGTTAAAGCATGAATTTGGGAGAGTTAGGAAGGGAAGTGGTAATGTACAATAAAAGCAAAGTGAACAGCATATACGAATATATGTGGATGAGAGGAAACTGAGAAGTAGCTATAGATGGGCATGACTGGTTGTAAAAGGCATTGTACACACACCATGCTTGTATTTGATTGAAAGGTGATGGATATAATAGAAGAATTTTAAGCAAGAATGTGAGATGAGAAGATTTTCCTGTTAGGGGTATTATCTCGGCAGTGGTGTGGAGAATGTTTTGCAGTGTGAACAAGAAAGAAAGCAGGAAGAATAATTGGATACCTCCAGTGGTAATTCATGCAAGAGTGAGGAGAGGATGCCTTTGAGAGATAACCAGATGGTAGAGATGCCCAGAGCTGGTGATTGATTTTATACTTAGAGAGGTGTAGAAATGTCTGTAAGCTTATCTCATAAATGAGTTAACTGACTTAGAGTGTAACTAAGTGACTTGACCAAGGTCATTCAGCTAGTTAACAGCAGAGCCAATATTAGATGCCAGGTCACCTAATTCTAAATCCATTGTTCTAACTATTATGGCATGTGGTTATTTGTAAATCAGGTTTAAAAAATGAGATCATGGGCCGGCCCGGTAGCGCACTGCAACAGTGCACTGCAACAGTGCGCTGCTTGGGAGCACGGAGGCGCTCCCGCTGAGGGTTCGGATCCCACATACAGACTGGTTCCCGCTCACTGGCTGAGCGAGGTGTGGGAGCAACGCCGAGGGTTGCGATCCCGTTGCCGGTCCCGGTCCGGTACGGGCGCGACACTGAGGGTTGCGATCCGTTGCCGGACACGAAAAAAGACAAAAAGGAAAAAAAAAATAAAAAATAAAAAATAAGATCATACTTTAAATGCTTTAAGGGAGCTTGCCACTTAAGAAATCCTTAGTATGTATGTTGCAAAAAGTACAGTCACTCTAAAAGTAGGCTAAAGAATGTCCTGATGTTTATTTTTTAATTTTAATTTTTTTTTTTTTGTCCTTTTTGAGACCGGCCACACCGCGCTCAGCCAGTGAGCGCTATGAGCGCACCGGTCATCCCTATATAGGATCCGAACCAGCGGCGGGAGCGCTGCTGAGCTCCCAGCGCCACACTCTCCCGAGTGCTCCACGGGCTCGGCCCTAATTTTAATTTTTTTAATCTTAATTTTATTTTTTCATTGTACATGTTTATGGGGTACAATTTGTTGTTTTCAATACATGCATATGTTGTGTAATGATCTAATCAGAATGGTTAGTATATCTATCAGCTAAACATTTATCATTTCTTTGTGGTTATAACATTCAAGTTCCTATTTTCTGGATATCTTGAAATATACAATACAATACTATTAGCTATGGTCATCCTAGGGCACCAGAACTTATTCTTCCTATCTTCCTAATGTTTTTATTTATTTGATAATGTAGTCAAAAGTTTTGTTCTTTTTGGAATAGATTGTCAGTATTGTATATAATTGAAAAGTATGCTATTTTTCTATGTGACTCTAGCAGTAGTACGAGCTTTGAAAGTGGGGCAAATAGTGAAGATATTAAGAAAGCCAGTGTTCTACTGATCCGTAAATTGTATATACTGATGCAGAACCTTGGACCCCTTCCTAATGATGTTATACTTACTATGAAACTCCACTACTATAATGCAGGTAGGTGCAGACCTTTAGTCAAATCCCTTAAGTTCTGAAATAATATTTTATATAAGTAGAAGCATTTTGCAAGCATCTGAAAGAGATGACTTGCTACACATGAAAGATTAACATGACTTGTTCTATTGAAACTCAGTTTTCTTGACTTTTTGTCCTTTTCATTTTGCAGTAACCCCACATGATTACCAACCCCCTGGTTTTAAAGAAGGGGTGGACTCACACTTCCTGTTATTTGAGGGTGATCCTGTCAACCTGCAAGTGGGATTAGTCTCCACTGGCTTTCATAGCATGAAAGTAAAAGTCACGACTGAGGCCTCCAGAGTGCCTGATTTGGAGAACAATCTCTCTCCGGAGAACAGTACTACCCAGATTGCCCATCAGGGTCTAGACTGCGATGAGGAAGAAGAGGAATGCAACAATCATGTAAGGCAAAGCTTTAGTGATCCTCCATTGCTTCAGTTAAACACAGTTGACATTTTTCAGTTTCCACACAGGTCATGTCACAGTAACAGAGTCTGATGGAGCATTCCAGGTATAAGAACTGAAACAAAACTAACTCCTGATATCAGGGAATTTTTAGTCTAAAAAAGTACAGTCTTCAAGAAAGAAATATACTTTGTTAGATGGAATTGTCCATGACTAGGAGGGCAAAGAAAGATTTTCCAATATATTTCTTTTATTAAAGGTACCTATAAATTTAGAAAATTTGGGGTTTTCTTCCTTTCATTTATAAATACATATTTTAGGATAAAAAATGTTTTAGGTGTTTATTCATATTCAATGGAAGTATAAATCAGCTCTTGATTACTGGGGGTAATTGGGTGGGAAGGGGTTGGGGAAGAAAAAGTTTACGGATTAACCTGAGTCAGAGTGAAAATAAAATGATTGTCAACTCTTGGTTATGTGGAAAGAAACAAGCTCCGAGGCTAGATCGCTGGGGGAAATCCATGGAGTTGGTGGAGTTAGAGCCAGTGGAGCCAAACAGGCAGGGCTCTGAGCCTTTTACCTTCCCATTTACATCAGTAGATACCTGGAGCTAGGTACTTGCTTGGGACCCATTGTCCCTTAGGTAAATCCATATCCTTAACTGGCTGTTGTCTGGATAATAATGTTTACTGTATGCCAACATTGCATTAAAAAGGTTCTGACTTAGACAAAAAAAATTTCAGACTGTTCAGTGGGAAGAGATGCCATGATATCTTTTCAGGAGGTATTTTAAGATTAGGATGATAACTTATTTGTCTGAGATACTTTAAGTTCTACTTAAAGATAGATGACTGTACTAGGTAACTTCTGAAAGTTCCTTCTAGTTCTTTAACTCTGTGTTATGGTTAATACATTGAAAAGAGGTCCTAGTCTTAATTCAATTAATATAAATAATATAACCAAACAAACAATAAGTGTTTTGGTTTTGTTTTTTATTGGTTTTTTTTTTGTCTTGTTTTGTTTTTCATTTTTAGTATTTTCCTAATGTCAGACATGAACATGGCTTTAGATTTTGGTGCAATTTTTTTCTTCTGATTCCACTCAAGGAAGATGTAGCAAACAGAGAAAGGTTAAAAAAAATAAAGGTTAAGAAAAGAATGTGTATGTTTTAACTGGATTTTTATCTTTTAAATATTAAGAATTTCTTTCTCTTTTATTAAATGAAATGAAAGCAGGACAGCCTGAGAAGAGATAGTGCCATTGATAGATTAAATTAGGTATGTGATAATATTTCCCAAGTTTACGTTTAATAGAAAATATATGTACAAAGATCTGGACTCTGTGGTAAATTCAGCTGATTCAAGTTGCTCTCTCAGCCAGCCAATCATATGAGAGAATTTAGTAAGTCTATGAAATGCTTACAGACATTTTCCCACTAAGGGTTCCTATTTTGTTTTTCTTCATAGAACACACACAAACACACACACACTCATACACTCATACACGTGCATACATATGTAGAATCTTTACTTCGTTGCTTTTAAAAATTGTTTTATTTTGAAATGTATTATGCATACAGAAAAGTATATAAAAATAATGTGAACGGTTTAAAGAATAATGAGAACATTCATATACCTTCCATTTAGGCTAAAAAGTAGAACATTGCCACTACTGTGAAGCCGCCCTTCCTCATTGCACTACCCATCCTCCAAAAGTAACCATTTTTATGACTTTTATGATAATCCTTCCCTTGCTCTTTATAGTTTTATCATGTATGAGTATGTCTGCTTGTTTTAAAATTTTATGTAAAAGTAATCATACTCTGAGTATTCTTGTATGATTTGCTTCTTTTGCTTGACCATCAAAAATGAGATTCATCATTTTGCATGGTTGTTTTTTTGCATTTTCTCTGCTGTAGAATATTCTACTCTTAATAGACATTCTTTCCTTTTAATTGTTATGAACATTTATGTACATACCTCCTGGTACACATGTGAAAGAGTGTCTAGAAAATATGTCAAAGAGTTCTAGGCTTGCACATTTTCACCTTTATATTAGGTAACACAAAACTATTTTCCAAAGTGGTTGTACCAATTTATACTCCACCATCAGTGAAGAGAGTACCCTATATTCCTTCCAACATTTAATATTGTCCAAGTTTTTGTTTTCTGCCAATTTACTGGATATGAAATGGTAACTCATGATTTTAATTTGAATTTCCCTGATTGTTAGTGAGTTTGTGCATCTTTTCATTAATGAGTTTGAGAATCTTTTCATTGGCCATTCTAGTTTTGTTTTATGTAAAGTAGCTATTCAAGTCTTTCATGCATTTTCCTGTTTGGTAATTTATCTTTTCCTCATTGATTAAAAAAATATGTTCTGAATAATAATTCTTTTTCATTTACTTATGTTGCATTATTTATTTCATGTTTGTGGCTTGTCTTTTTTACTTTCTTTAAGAGGTCTTTTGATAAAGAGAAAAGTTCTTAATTTAAATATCATCAAACCATTTATTTTAATACGTGCTTTTGATATCCTTAAGAAATCCTTCCCTACTTCGAGTAATTAATAATATCCTCCTATATTTTATTCTAAGATATTTAAAGTTTTTCTTTTCAAATTTAGGTTTTTAATTCACTTGGAGTTTACTTTTATTTGTGGTGTGAGGTAGACCACACGACTTTAACATACTTAAATTCAAGTATAATATACATACAGAAAAGTATATGTATTATAATGATACACCTCAGTAAATATTCACAAACTGAACACTAGGGCTGGGCCAAGGGTGAGGCAAGCAAGGTGCCTAGGGAGCACACATTAAGGAGAATCTCAGGTGCTGAGAGAGAGCCTCCTTAAATTTTCCTCTTTGCTTATCTTGCTTGCCTCACCCTGGTCCCCGCCTTATTGAATAAACATGTGAAATCAGCACTCAGATCAAGAAAGAAAATATTACCAGCCCCCAAGAAACCCAGTTTTACTCTGAAGCCACTATTTTACTCACCAAGAATTTTGCTAATCTGACTTCTATAAGCATAGATTTGTTCTCTTGTTTATTTTGTAGATGTGGAATCATAGAGTATGAACTATTTTTTTCAGTCAGTGTTATGTTGTGAGATTTATGCATATTTTTACATGTTGTTGAGGACCATTCTCATAATTTATTTATCCATTCTGCTGTTGATGTGCATTTGGGTAATTTCACATTTTTAACTATGATGAATAGTACTACTCTGAACATTCTGGAATATGCTATTTAGTGAAATATGTACACATTTCTGTTGGGAATAGAATTGCTAGGAGTAGGAGACTTCCGATCAAGATGGAGGAATAGACGGTACCCAGCATCACCCTCTCCCACAATCAATCAATTTACAACTATTAAAAAGCAACAACTGCCAAGCTGGGGTTGCTATAGCTCGGGAGAAGAGAAGAGACCTACAGAATTCGTAAAGGCAGGAGAAGCCATGATGTTGGAAAGAAAGGACCGTTCGAACTGTTTTAAGCACTGACCATTTTAAGGCTGGCCCTGGTAAGCACACAGAGCAAGAGCTGGCAAAAGCTGCTGCTGTGCACTTTATATGAAATTGCTTGGAGGCGGCAGGAGAGAAGAGGGCCTTAGTGGCCCCCAGGCCAGCAAGACCACTAACAGGGTTCCTGTGGACCCACATAGGAGCAAGGGGCCATAGATAACTGGAAAAAGGAGCCATGCAGAGGTTGGTGAGTCATTGCAAGGGACTGGTGCACAGCCTGTCCCTGAGAAGCATTTGGAGTGCGGGTGGTAGGGGAAATGAGCCCACTGGGGGAACACTGGGACACAGCATGGACAGCTGATCTGCCCTCCAACCAGCACAGGCCCACTCAGTATAGACTGGTCAGGGATATAGAACTACAGGGGGTGCAGTTTGCTGAAAAGACTCAGGCCCTGACCAGAGTTTCCACACAATCCAAGTGTACCGAACCTCACAAGACCTGGAAGTGCTTACAGGGTCAACAATTAAACCCTGAGCTGCACAAAAAGCCTTCTCCAGAGAATCGGCAGCAAAACAGTAATTTAGCTCACCCACAGAGTTCAAGTGCTGGTTCCCACAGGAATTTTAGAAGTAACCAGAAGACAACAAGTTAGTTCCAGTACAGAGTTTAGGGGTGGGAATAGCGAATAATCCAATACAGAACTGAAAGAAAAAACAAAAAACCCTAGGGGTCAGAGACAAAGTTCTGATATTAACCAGTAAAGGTCTAACACCACCAGAGAACACCTATAAAACCTAGAAGGGGGGCCGGCCCAGTGGCGTACTGGATAGTGCGCCGCTTGGGAAGCGCGGCGGCGCTCCCGCCCAAGGGTTCGGATCCCACATACAGACCGGTTCCTGCTCACTGGCTGAGCGAGGCGCGGGAGCAACACCGAGGGCTGCGATCCCGTTGCCGGTCCCCGGTCCGGTACGGGGGCAACACTGAGGGTTGCGATCCGTTGCCGGACACGGAAAAAGACAAAAGACAAAAAAATAAATAATAATAATAATTTAAGTAGAATGACACACACAAAATCTCCAACTCAGAAAATATTTTTAGCCAAAACAGTTAGGAGAAGAAATAATTCTTGATAGTGGAACAAGGAAAAAACACTTGAGAAAATAATCAAAAAATGTGTATTCTAGCAGGTAAAACCCATTCCATGAAGTAATCCTGTCTCCCCAAAAGCTGTTGCTAAAATCCTAATGGTACATAAAACAGATATGAACAAGTAATACAGCATGGGGTAATTTTTGCAAAGTTCAAAATTAAATTAGAAAAAAAAAAAAAAAAAAAAAAAAAAAAAACCTAGAAGGACTGAAAGCCCCCCGGGCTCCCAAGCCAGAGGAGGGGGAGGGCTGAAAGCCTCAACCACCCCCAGCCCCCCGCAACGTCCACATCCAGCCCAGCGACGACCACCAGGTTGCCACTGGAAGTGCCCCTGGCTCCCAAGCTGGGGCTGGGGGATGCCAAGGGCCTCAGCC